TAACATTCCAACATATTCTCATTACTGAAATAAGTTTATATGTCAATTTACTCTAACCAATGTGTATAAAACACTCACTGAATTTATTTTTATCAGTCAAATCTCTCAATATTTAATTAATTATTATACTTACAATCCTTGCCATTCAACACAAAACTTTAAGTATCACCAGTCTAATCACATTAGTGAAATAAAAGAAAAAAAAAACTTGCCAAGGAATTATTACAAGTGTTTGAAATAGGTTTTATTACGATCTACCTAGATGTTCATATAATATTAAAATATTGGAATCAAAATGCGAAAGTGATCTATATTTTTTTTTTAAAAAGATTTCGACCGATGATACCATTCTCCATAATTGGTAACGAATTAAAACATAGAACTTGTTCTCAATAGTTAGATCGCTTGTGCTCAATTACTGAAATACAACATACATATTTGACATAATTGGGCAATATAATAAATATATAATATATTTTTTTTTACTATTTTACAGGCATTACAAATTTATATCATAATATAATCTCGTATAATATTTAGGTACATATATCATTGTCAGTCAGGGATTGAGGCTCACAATATTTTGGTCACAACAAAATTTAAAGTAATTAATTGCAAACATAGTATAATGAGTTTCAAGATCGTATTAAATAAAGTAATTATTTTCATAATCCATACATACTAAGTCGGCATCACTTTACTATTTTCTCAGAAAATAATAAATTGTAATAGATAAAACGTTTATGATTTGAAAGTTCAATCAATATTATACCGAAAATAATTGATTACATTTTACATTTAGATATCCAGAACAAAGAAGTCAATGCAAAGCAATGTACCTAATCATTTTCGTTAACATAACAACAGACAGATCAAAATACATGTTGTGATCCCAGCCGCGTAAGCGATTTATGACACCTTTGTTTTAAATTCCAAAGTACACGTATATGGAGACGTTTGAGATTACATCGTATGATGGTACCTACTTTTAACAATACAATAAGATAATACCGTGAATAAAATAATTTACCTTTCCTAATAGTTTACCGTTAAGGCGACACCGCGAAAAAATGCACCTCCTTTCATCGAATAGTATAGGAGTATGACACGACTAACGAAACTGGAATTTCGATATAGGTAAATTCATGTCTTTATCTTGAGTTTGCTTGCTCAAAAACACGATTATAAAATTTTGACTCGATCATAATTATTTGCGAAATCACCTCTAAAATATCACTTTAGTTGAAATTACAACGAAATTACTTAATCTATATGCTTGGGAACCACTCGAATACATTCATAACATCAATATTCGTAATTTACTTGCTCATTATTTTGATTGCTAAAATCAGTAATTTTTTAAAAATATTTTAAGATTCTACGCGATTTCTAAGCGGTTTTAATAGTCGCGGGCGCTACGCAATTTTAGACCTTATGACGGCGTTTTTGAAGTTTTTATAGAAATTATGTTTTACTCTGGTTAGTCCGGCGATAGCCCGCTTCAACGGTTTTCGCGGTGTCGCCTTAAATATTTGTTTTAAACATTTTTTCTTAATTTACACAGTTTAGGTAGTTATATTTCCTTGTGATAATAACTTTACATACATTATCGTGTATTCGTTATTTAAGTTATTTATAATAGTCGAAAACACATTACTACTTTTTTATTTTATGACTTTTATGGAATATGTTTATCTTAATTGAGACATAAATTTAAAATATACAATATTACACACCTAAAGTTTGTTTAAACAAAATATTTATTAATATTAGACGAGACAATTTTTTTTTAAAAAAGCAGATACATAATTTTATGTTTCGTTGTCCATAATAAAAAAAATACTATTGTTATGAAACTTAAAATAATAGAGTAGATACACTTTCGACTTTTTTTTTAGTAACTAATATACAAATTTTCGTTTAAAATTGTAAAAATTTTACATTAACCAAAAAAAAACTAAAAGAAATTTAGGGTAAAGTTATTGAAAATATGAAAAAGTTTTGCAAATTCATATAAAATATATCTAAGCGAAAACGTATTTATCATTTTTTTTTATTGTGGTTGTTTTTTTTTGCTTTGGCGGGGATTCCATTATGACCTCATTTTAATTGTTCTCATGTCCCTACATGTTAATTATTTTCATACTTGCACATCTCCATAGATAAGCACATCTCATTACATTCCTTTTTGATTGTCAGGCCTATTATTTTTTCATAATTGTTGTACGTACTTTATTTCTTTCTTATATTTTTGACCTTTAGCTAGCTTTATTTCTTTTAGTATTCTCTCTCCTTAATATTTATTTATTTATTAGATACCCGGGAATCGGAGTATTAATTCACTTCATTTATATTTTATTTCGTGATATTTATCACGCGGGTACTTAATAAATATGGGCCCCCCATTTACTTGGGTATTATATTATTTTTTCATAACATTCATTTCATTTTATTGGTACATAAACTTTTTTATCATACTATCTCAAGGTAGAACTGTACCTTGGGTTGTGCGCACAACCTTGAGGTCAACTTTTAAGTCATTTTAAAAAGGACTCCAACAATTGTCACGGAGGAAAACTAAGTTCACACTATGATCCAATGAAGGATGTGACCTCTATGTACCATTATTAAGGGTAACAAATTTAAGACTTCTCTGGTCCCCAACAGTACTAATATGAGTAAATTCGTTCACATCTCACTTGTACTGAAGGTATTGTTCCCTAGTACCCGTTACTTCCGATTTTATCATCCAATCATGGAAACATACCCTGCTCGAGGACTATATGCTTTACCAGTGATGGACGTTCCCGTATCTCTCCATGATTTATTTATCAAGGTCATCTTTTATTTTATTTTGATTCTCTTCATAAATTTTTATTTCTTTCTTTATCTTTATAGTACCTGCTGTTTATCTACTTGACTGTATCGGTAACTTTTATATACTTTCATGCTCAATTTCCATTACTAACTTTCATAATTCTCGCTCATAATGGTTTCAATACCAGGATTTTAAGCATCATCAAATATTTGGGTGATCAGTCCAATATTGACGAAACTTTGCAATTCCATCATTCGTATCCACACATTTGAACATTCCTTCTCTCATTCCTCACGCCTTTTAAATATATACTTTTTAATATTGTACAAAAAAATGAGGTAATAAATGTCAACTTTGCATGTCCGTGTTTAACTTGTTAAGAAACATTATTATTAAACCTTCTATTTTTTTTTCCTTATCACATTAAAATGATAGTTTTAAATATTTTCTAACTGATACAAAAGTTTATAGTATAATTACATCGTATCGCTTATAGATATATTACTTTTACTTATATCGAAAAATATATTAGCATTAGTTATACATTTAATTTACATATAAAAATTTAGGATTGCTAGAAATTTAAGAAACCGTATAACCTACAGAAAATAATTTGTAATCACTATTACAGCTAAATTTATTTTAAACAAAACATTAAGTTATTTCCAATTTTTGATTTTTAAGCAGGTTATATTAACTTTAAGGTAATTTATTAAAGGTTATGTATTTATTTATATAGTTACATAAAGGTTTTCATGCCTTTAGAAAAGAACACAAATAATTATGATTTATAATAATAGCGATTTTTTTTTTATAAAACCCTTTTCAAAATTGTATACTTACATTTAAATAAAATTTATCACGGAAAAAAATTGGGCTGAATTTAAAAATATATTTACTTTAATACGAATCTTGTCATTGTAAAATGTAACTTAATATATTGTATTATTTTTTAATAGAATACCTACTAAAATATTGTAAATATTATAAAATGTTAAATTCAAGTTACTTGTAAATACCGTACATTTAATATTTAATGCATTACTTATTTAAAATAAAACATAATAAAAAATTATTAAAATCAAATGTTGAAAATTACGCTGAAGCGATGTTACCTCTTAAATCTTCTTTTTTTCTTTTCGGTTTAATTTTCATATCTTACTGGACAAAGCTCGCTAAAGTACAACTGCTCCTTTCCTTATTAAATTAATATGCCGTTTCTTGAGTTTTGGTCTTTGGACATTATTTAAGGAATCACTTTTTATTCTCTTTATTCTTTCTTAGTTGCCTTCATAGTTATGTTAAAGATAAATACATTATATACGTTATAGTTTTTAAATTTTCAGTCAATTATTATTGTGGGCTCTTCTTGTATTCATATTTATTAATTTTTCGTCACATCCGGTATTGCGTCCATTCCGTTATAATATTTCTTTTATCTGTCATTTCACTTCATTATTTAATTTAAATTTCTTATAATATTTTTATTTATCTTTTTTTATGTAGTAGGCCCCGGCGGTGCGCATGCATTGTCGCAGCGCACCGCCTGGCAGGGTCGCCATGTGATGTCGGCAGGTGTTAATGAAAGAGAACACGTGTTGCTGAGACTAATTCTTTAATTATACTGATTAATAAACTTAAGAGAACATGTATTACTTACACTACTAGTAGGGTTGAGGCACATACACTACACTATGTTCCTCAGTGAACTTCTTTTTTTGGTTAATTCTTTGGAAAATTGAACACTTTATTGCCTATATTTCTATCCTTAAAAGTAGAAAAAGAATCATTGAAATTGATAAGATATTGGTTTTTTACATACAAAACAAATAAATTAGATTTGTTTCCTCTTTTGTAGTTGGATAAAAATAATAATACAATAATTATAATAAACATAATTATAAAACAATAATTAGACTATTCTTATTCTCACAGGCAAATAATATGCACTCAAACTTTATTTAAATTAGACATAATTGTTAATCAATTAAAGAAATTTTAACAAGTATTTAGGTTACATGTATTTACTAATATTATACAATACTTTTTAATAGTTATCTACTAAAGGAATTAAAACTATAAGTTGATTACAGTATTTTAAGAATTCAAAAGTATGTTGTATTAATAAAATACAAAGTTAGAAATAGTAAGATATTAAAAATAATAACATTTACCATTACAATTACTGTATCAAACCATTTCTATTTGTTTTCCACGACAAATAGGTATTCCAGAACAGAGCTACTGTTTGAACAATTAAAACTTGATATTGTAATGGAACATAATAAAAATTTATAATTTGTACTAGTGGCCAAATGTAATAGTTTGTTTTTAATACATCTAAATAATTGTACTTAATATCATTTTCTATATTTTCTAAAGCTTTGCCTTGCATTATACCCACAGAAGCTAGAATAAATAAAAGAAATGTAGGAGCAAAAATAAACTGATCTACAAACACCTTCTTTATCGCCACTGCTTTACCCTTTGAGCCTATATATTTATTTAAAAATCCATACCAGGCTCTCAAAGCTGGACCCTGAGAATTAAAAAAGTATTATTACATTATTGACATATAGAAAGAGGTTATCAATTCTACTGTGTATAATCTGATTGATTTTTACATAAATTATCCATTTCCTTAACAGAAAACAGTGTCAATCAACACATTTTAAGTAAAGCAGCATGCATGATATTGAGTGTTGTTGAATGTGAAAGTTGAGTAGCTCAAGTTGTAAGTTGTTATATATATAGTTTTCCTGAAAGATTATTAATACTTACACCTACAAAAAATCCGATTGAGGAAAATCTGAGGGTTCTCTTATAATCAACATATTTAACAGATTTCTTTTCTATTACAGTTTGAGATATAAAATCGCCAGCACCCATTAGAGTTCCCGTTTGGACAGCTTGAACTAAATACGGGCGCTTATTAAGAAGCGTTTGATATATTTTAAGAATTTTACGAACATTCATTTTTGGCAATCGCATAAATAAATACTAATTATTAAAATGATTTTAAAGTTAAGGGAAATAGAAACGGATAAATCATAATATGAGGGTTATTTTGATTGAATTGAATAGATTTTACGAGGCTAATCGTAGTATTGTGTAAAAAATACTTATAAGGCTTTTGTTTAAATACTACCACAAACGAACTAGAAATAGAAACACGAATACCACGGACGTAATTGAACTTAAAAATATTAATTATTCAAAAACGAAGAAATAAATCGTTACTTGATGTGATTTAGGGATGATCGATGATCATCGATTTCAAAAATGAAAACATCGATGTTTTAACACCGATGCTGCCACATGTCAAACATCGAAACATCGATGTCAATAAACCCATAATCGATTACTTGCTAACACTGTGAACCCGCGAAATCAATATCAACCAAATCTTGCATCACCTCCAAAATTTTTAAAATTTTGTATGATTCAGAATGCTTGTACGCATCGATAACCTAAAAATATGTCATTACGGTGTGTCAACTGTAATGTCGCAGTTGTCACTGATTTCGTTTTGTTATTGGTGTCGTTGTTGGTTGTCTGTTTCTTTGTCGGTTGTTTTTAAAAAAATCCGATGGTTGATCTTAAACACGATCCAAAGCACGTTTAGACAATGTTATTGGTTCTACCTAACTAAAGTTAAAAAAAAACTTACGGTGAGGTTTTTGACCACAATCGCTACATCATCACCATCTGGGCAGTTATCTACCAACTTCAAAAAGGACCACTAAAATGTTGAATATTTCTTGTTGCAAAATAATGTATTATAATAGAAACCAGTTTGTTGGCACTTTATAATACTTTGTATATTTATTTTAATATAACAGACATATTTTTTAATCATATTTGATAATTGAATGTAGAAAGAGGCGTTGAGCCTACAATTGTGTTGTCAAAACTCAAGAAAACTATGTTCTCTCATAACTTTATATAACTTCACATAACTTTTTCTGGGTGAACCGATTTCGATGATTATTTTTTTATTTGAAAGCTGGTGCTTCGTCATGTAGTCCCATATAAATTTGTCTCATATAAGTCTGACCAATAGTTTTTGAGTTATCCTTAATAATTTATATTGAAGTCGGTTGTACAAAATTTTTATTTTTAAATTATTTTCAATAGCGGGCTCAACTCTTTATCAACACAGAAACAGATTAAAAGGTTCTTTTTTGTCAAAATTACTATTTCTTTAATCAATCGGCAAAAATATTGGATTATATAACAAATGAAATAGATATTTTTCTGTTTATTTCATTAATTATAAACCATATATATCATGACGATTTTATTATTCATCTAATTCTAACCTATTAAATACGTGTCCAAAAACCATCGATAATGGCCAACATCGATGTTTTGAGTAGGATAAACATCGAACATCGATGTTGAGCTATTGATGTCAACATCGATGTCATCATCGATGTTTCTACAACATCGATTATCCCTAATTTGGTTCTTGTTATAAGTTATTTTTATTAAGATTTTTGGCTTGGATGCTTGCTTGTTCCAAGCTTGTTTTTTAAGCCATGCTGTGTAGCCGTTTAGGAGAAAAGGAAGTCCCCAGACATCAATGAAAAAGTCCCTAGATTTAAAAAAATTAACTAAAAAATCCGCTAGAAGTCGCTAAATATTTCAATATATTCCATTGCAACAAAATATAGTGAAAATAAAAGAAAATTTGTATAACCAAGTATTTATTATTATAAATCAAATTCTTAAAGGACAAGCAAAAATTTCATTATCAATTGCATCATTTTCGACTTCGACAACTTGTAATGGTGCTAATGTAGCAGAAGTTGGTGGTTCCACTGTAAAGTCCGTCTCACAAAAGAAGTCCCGCGCTGATAAATGAAAATTTTAATTTATCAGCGCTAATTTAACAGGTCGGTTTGACGTTGTCACTTTGTCAGGTACATTGTGTTTGTGTTCGGTGCCATTGTGTTTTTTAATTGATTTGCCGTAGTCAAAGTGTTGTTTACAGTGCCTAAAGTTATAAAAAGTGCTAGTCAAGAAATAATATTGAAGGTGAAGGAGTTTTGTGAAGCAGAAAAGCGGAATTAGGGAGTTTTGATACCAATAAACAATATCAAAAGAGTAGCCGCCATGACAGATACTTATTTGGGGATGATTTTTACCATTCTATGTGTTAATTTTAATTTTGTTTGTTTCATACATATACAATTAAAGTTTTATTTTAAATTATTGTTTAAGATTTTAAGTTAATCTACATACTGTTGAAAATTCTCAAAACCGGCTTTGTTTTATATCTTTCCAAAAAATCACATGTGTCTGAGAAAACACTTTCAAGGATTACACAAGAAGGAAAAGTAGCGGCTAGTACTTTGAAAAGAATTGTCACACCTGAGAAGCATCATCTTCATTAAAAACTGACAAGATTGGGAACTTCTTAAAGCGTGCTTCTATCAAGACCTACCTTCAGATACAGTTAGCGTTTACTTCGTGAATAGGAATAGGGATAATGTTACGGATTTAAATTCTGACATTTATTTTTTTGCCACTACGGGATGGTATAAAGTGTTGCCCTCTATAGTCATAGCTAAGTCCATATTGGAACGCTTGTGATTTTTGGGGAAATATTAGTAAATGCTAGTAAGATTCCGTTGTATGACTGCAGCGCCGCGTCTACGGACTTCTTTCGTGAGACGGACTATACCTAGTATTAGTTTTTCTAATGGTTTTCGTAATTTTGTTAAGGACATCATCTGGCAAAACTGCTTCCTTATAAGAATTTTGGAATATAAAGTAGTTAGAGCCAGTCTGTTCCACAATTTGTTCTTTATAATATTCATTTAATACATGAGCCCGAAATTGTACAGTATCTGTAGTTATGTCTTATTTCACAAAATTAATACTGTGCCATTGTTTTAAAATGTTTTCAATTTTGTCCTCCTCAAAACTAACAACGAGTTCAGCGATTGAATAATCTTTTATCGGTTTTAAAGTGTTATCTACAGATTATTGTGTCATTTTTTGTTTAGCAGTGGACTTATGAAGGGCTGTAATGATGATGATGATGATGATATTTGAAAATATACATAATAAAAAATTTCTATCCTAAATATGTAAGAATAAGTGAGAGGCTGACTACAGGGTAAGAAATGGCTGACTTGTAGAGAAATGAGGCCGACGACTACTGGTGAAAAGTGCCATAATTTGTTAAATGTTGATTTTTTATATAATTCTATTCTATTTATATAATGTTTTGTTGATTTCTTTAGTAAATTTAATAAACAACCTTACTGGGGATAATGATTGTTTTTATTCATAATGTTTAATATTTAAAATACAGTTGAATAAAATTTTAGTGTTTACAGTTTTGTGACTACAGGGTATTTTACCCTACGAGGTCTGTTCAAAAAGTATCGCAAATTTTGTATTTTTTGAAAAAGTACTTATTTATTCATGAATATCTATTTTTTCATGATCTTCTTCAGTTCCTCCTTCGATGCCGTCTTTATCTCCTCAATCGTGGTGTAGTGTCGTCTTTTCATGGCCCTCTTCAGTTCAGAATACGGTGGCTGTGGGACCATTACTGTGTTGACTTTTGGATAAATATTTGCACACAAGCAACAATGTGTGAGCAGGGGTGTTATCATGGTGCAAAAGCGAATTTTTGTTCTTCCACAAATCCGGGCCTTTCTGGCGGACTGCTTCTTGCACTTGCAGACAATATTCCTTATTGACCTTACTACCCTGTGGCAAGAACTCATGATGCACCACGCCCCTGCAATCGAAGAAAACTGTGAGCAAAACTTCACGTTCGACCGAACTTGGCGCACTTTTTTCGGTCTTGGATCATGCGGCAGATTCCATTGGGATGGTTGAGCTTTGGTTTCCACGTCGTAACCATAAACCCATGATTCTCACCAGTTATGACCCACTGGAGCACATTTGGGTCGTGAAGGACCGAGTCCAACATCTCCTGAGTAATGTTAACGCGATGCTGGTTTTGGTCAAAATTGAGCAATTTTGGCACGAATTTCGCGGCGACCCGACTCATGCCCAAATCATTACTTACAATGGAATGGCACGAGCCAATCGATATGTTTAGGTCCTCAGCAACTTCTCTAACGGTGATTCGACGATTGTCCAATAATATTTTCTTATTCCAATTAATTTGCTCGAATACAATAAGCAAATCGTGTAATGTTTAATTTTAACCGACTTCAAAAAGGGAGGAGGTTATCAATTCGGTGAATTTTTAATGAATTTTACTTCAGAATTCTACAATTTCTAAACTGATTTAGATTTTTTTATTTGAAAGAATATTTACAGATTGATCCAATACACACGATGAAATTTTAATGGTTGTTTTCCCGAAGTAAAATGATTTTGCCTTAGTAGTACAATAGATTTATTAAAATAGAATTATTAGGATGTAAAAATGGCATATTTACAATCGAGAAAAACAAAACTCGAATACGCTCTCAACCCAATAGCAATATCTCGCAAGTAGGTTGGGCGTGCAGGCTAGCTTATATCGAATTACTACTAATAAATGTTCATAACATGAACTCTCAAGCGTTGTGATACGACATAAACTAGTTTGGACGCCCGAATAGCTTGTGAGGTATTACTATTGTAAATCTGCCCTTTTATAATTGTAATATTTTTTAATTTAATAAATTGACTCTACTATCGAGACAGTATAATTTGGCTGCGGGACAACAACCACTAAAATTTCAGCATGTATATACGAATTGATCAAGCTTAGAAATCAGTGTACATACATATTGATAACCTTTCTTTTTTGGAGTCGGTTAAAATAGGCTATGTTTGGGTCTAACGTAACATCTGGTTAATGTTTGGGTGTAAAGTGACATCTGGTTAGTAAATGCGTTCTTATTAATAATCTCATGATGTAAATAAAAAAGGTTTATTCTATATTCTAAAATGTACGTAAAAACCTTAGTCAATAAAAAAAGCAATTAAAATAAAATAGTTGCGTTAAAATG